CGCGACAGTGGTAGTTCATTAAATGCTAAAGACCTGTAAATAAATTTATATAGAGGCAGTTAAGAATTAAAAAAAAATATTCCTTGTAATTTTACGTTAAATTATTACAATCCAACATTTCTTGTAACGTACTGACTGACTGAAGAACTGAAATAGTAGTTGAGAAATAAATACGAATCTACGATGGTCAACATTTTTTTTCGTTTAGTTAGATAACAATTTAATTGAACGAAACATAACAGTTTTCGCTTTCCCGATATAAACCTTGAGAAAAAATTAAGAGAGTTAACGTAAGCGTCATTGAAGGTAAACATTTATGGAGAGACAAGTATGAAAGTATAACGCATTGCACAATCAGATAGCGAGAGATAGTGGTCGATTCTATTTCCAGTGGTAGTAAGGTCAATGTCTGCGGTGTATGGCCGCCTTGTAACCGCGTACGAGAATCGTAACTATACGCCTCCGTTCACAAAACTAAGTCATGATTCATATACGAATAAAAACGTCACATTAGCCGTATTTACGACTATAAATTACGAAGTTGTGCTATTTTTAATGAAAACGTATTTTTGTCAACTATACGCGTTGTAAAGTTAAAATTGCTATTTTATCAAATATCGCTTAGATGTTTGTCGCAAAATAAGAGGTGAAACAATTCTTTAAACGATAAAGTAACCTACTAAGTAGGATGTTAAGAAAGTACTATAAGCACTTTTCTTAACATTGAATAAGCAAGCAATATACAATGAGAAATATTGTCTAGGCTAGACTAAAGCCTCTACGTTTTGGGCCTGAACGTAACCTACTTATTCGAGGTGTTATTAAAATTACACAAGACAACTTTTAGAATTTTTTTAACTTGCGTAATTGTGTACTTGTAAGGTTAAAGAAATTGATAAAATATTTATACAGCCACACTTGCATATAGATTATGTACTTAGCTAATTTCTAGCTAGCTCACTGCAAACTTTATTCAACATAGCTGGGCTCGGTTACATAGGCCTGACTTTCCAACGCTTTGTGATTTATAAACGTCATCAAATATGCACCATGACTTCGTTAGCACAAAGTAAAATTGTTGAAGGCAAACTTTTCAGAAGCACAAACTTCAGTCAGCTTTTCGCTAGCATTTATAACTGATTCTGAATAAAATGCTGGGCTTATTTTTCACTTTAGATTTTTTGTGTCTACTTTTATAAAGGATTTACTGGGTCTAAAGAGAAAGGTAAACAATTTATTTAAAAAAAATCTTCATTATCATCATAACGGAAACAAATTATATCATATAGAAATTTTACACAAAAAAAATATGATAACAATGGGCTGCAATATAAGTAACGAATATAACAGATCTAGGGCTTATTATTAAAAACATATGACTGTCAACATTTCTTCTTTTGTTACGTCTACTCTAAGAAGTTATAGGATAAATGTAATTTAAGTGTGTGCGATTTGTAATCTTTCCCGGGGTATCGTTAAGGTACAGTCAGCCACATTCATTTTACTATTACTACTTATATAAATTTTATTGTCCTGTTTTGTCGACTGTACCATAATGATGATAGCAGAGCAAAATGTATGTACAATATGGTCGTAGTGTTTCCACTTAACGGGTTCGTTAGCGCGTGTCAGTCAGTTCATTAAGAACGTTAACGTGATAAAGCGAGTGCAGCAGCTAAAGTTAAATGTCGGATAAAACAACGTCCAAATAAAACATTTAGAGTCAGTTTCCACTATGATTTCGCAGTGGAAAGCTACAAAAAAAACATGTAATTTTCTTTAGCGATATTATTTCAAGAAATAATACATTAATATACATTTAATTGCGTCATCGTTGTGGACAAATTTTCCTCATTTAATAACTATAGTTTGTTATTACGGCATACTGAATTGTCTAATTGGAATTTATATAATTACCACTTGATCTAGAATCTAGACAACGACATAACCGATGAAACATTGACTAGTGAAATACATAATTAATAACGTTACGTCCAAATAAACTAATAAAATAAATTGTTTGTAAGGCGTATTATCACAAACGTATCATAAACGCATAACTGTAATCATAACTTTTCAACGAACCTGTATAACTTTATTTCGAAGCCGCTTCAAAGCATATTGTCGAGTCATTTTTTATTCATAACTCTACTGAGCAAATTATACTTACTACTTATATGTTCGCATACTAACATCAACAACTTACTTATTATATATACAGTATGATGCCTTTTATACGAGCAGTAAATTAACCCTCAATTGATTATAAATTATACATATACAGGCATTTATAGGCAATATTGAAATGAAAAGTGTTACACTAAAATGGTCTAAGACGAAAGATGTATTAGTTCTATCAAGTCTCTGTTTTTCAATGCCTAAAGGAAATACACATATGCCACAAATGTCACGATATTTTTACATTTTGTGGTTTTAGTTTGAAACTAAGGACAGCCTGCCCTCAATTCCATTGTGACCGCTTGCATCCTAAACGTTTGAACCGATTTTGACCAGTGAGATATAATTCGATTTGTAGTCATCCCTTGAGTAAAATAGGCATACAGTTTTTTAATTTTATTTAACAACTATATATTTTCACATCTAAATAAATATCATTACAACGTCTTAATATAATTAAAATAGTGGTGAGACTTCCCGAATATGACGAGGTCAAAGAAACAAAACAATTCAAATTTAACTTTGTCAGACGTTTGGAGTACTAGGGTAGCATAGCATATGGTGGGCAGATTGCATTCCGATTGTGGTTTGACGTCACCGCTCGCAATGCAGCTTTTTAAACCAGATTCGATACATGGCCGTAGTTATATAAACCGCGTCGAATCCATACCTGTTCCAACATCGCGTATACGCATTCAGCGAAAGGACGCGCGTGACACAAAAAACTATCGTATTACATCGAACATGTAACAATCGCCTAGTTTTTTTTTTTATTCTACATACGAGTTATTATACTTTATAATGTCCGAAGCTATACCTTATAATGACTCATGGAATCTTGATATACAAGAGACTTTATATGATTCCCTTTCAAGTTCATTTTCAGTGAATTCTGTTCGTAGTAATCCAGATTTCTTTCTGTGCATACGCCAAATCGTACTCTAGTCACAGATTGCATTGAGTCGATGTTTTAACATTAAGTAAGCATTATAAATACAAATTAAAGTAAAAATATATAACGACGGGATTCTCGAAGATAATTATTCTATTCATCAATTCATTCAATCAAAATGATTTACAAGATGTACCAAATTTTTTCAACAGCCGTGCCGAAATGGATCATCCCATCACTCTCGGCATTTCGTCATTCTATTCGATACTATATTCACCAAGTAATTAAAGAGCCTTGTTATCGAAAAATTAATCCGTGAAACACAAATTACTTTTAATCTGTCTGTACTATAATTCCTAAAAACAATATTTTATTACCCTAAAAGGACAGTTCATTACTGTAAACTCTGGTCTAGACACAATTAAGACTTGATATAAGGATCAATACATATGAATGGTTAGCGAAACCTCGTGATAACATCTGTAGGTCTCAGCTGACGTCGGCGGACGGGCGTGATATCGATTGAGTCGCGCGTCCCCTCTCGCAGACGCGGCGCCGCACAGGACCAAAATGCGAAAAGCGTACTTACGAAATACCATATATATGACTGGGTAAATTAAAACAATCTTATTCCCTGTTTAATCTTTGTCTATCTTACTAATACTAAAAATGCGATTATTTAGATGGATGGCCTTTTGTAAGAAGGTATCTGCAGAACAAATGCATGGATCTCTATGAAATTTGACATAAATAATAGAACATAGTCTGAAAGATCACATAGGCTACTAATTAAGTTTTTTTAATTCCTTGCCGATGGAGTATTGGGCAACAGCTAGTAAAGTAATCATATAAATGTTCATATAATTGAATACATAGTTGAAATCATGATTATTATCATATCAGCTTGTTTCTATTCAGTCCTAAAAGTAGCCTGCGTTCCTAACACACCATTGTGGTCATGTACTACTTGGTGGAGTAATCTTGGACACCAAGAAGGCATGCTCTTAAAATATGTATATCAGGGTTTAAAAAATATTGTTGTTATTTATTATTTATTAAAATTATAAGAGTGAAAAAATATCATAATAAAAATAAATAATTATCAGATTTCATATTGGATGCCGATCAGTTTCTTTATAGCTTAGTATTACTACACTATAAACACTTTACTTTCAGAAGTTGGAATGAAAAATCTTTATTAATCTACAGTAATATTTCTTCTAGAAAAACAAACCATTTTCAGTTTCACCGGAAAACAGACATATACAGAACAACAAAAAAAAATTGTTATTATGTATATTTCTGTATTAAATGTATTATTTTTAAACCACTTACTAATATATAAATACCCACATTTAGATAATTTATGGCAACTATGCATATGTTAAACTTATAAACGGTTTTAATAATTCAAGAAAGACGAGGCCATGCTTGAAAGCTTTATGGTTTTACTATTAAAGATCATATAACTTTCTAAATCCACTTTAAAATGGAACTTAGGTTTCCAGATGACTTGAAAATTATTAGAAGAGTGAAATAAGTTATGTGGAAGACAGCAGAACATTAGAACATGAATGTCAATAATTAGTTACTGTTGGTTTATGTAACTTAACATACTTATTTAAATTTGACATAAAATTATTTCTTGTGTCCATAGTAAAAATATATGGTTAAAGTTAAAACTCCTGGGATAGAATCTTTTAAACCTGTTTGAGGGATCCAAAGGCGTTTAAATTATGTTTACATACATATAGTTCTCATAAAAAGAGAACTATGTCAATACGTCTGTAATCAATTAACACCATAATAATTTTATTGTAGCATAGTATATTTCCAAGCTAAACAAATTTCTCGACCCAGTATTATAAGTATCATTTTGCCACGAACTCTACTCACGACGATTTTAAGTTTAATGTAAATATTTACTCACTTGTGCGTATTTTTAATCCGAAAACCCAAAGGTGTAAAATCCTCGCCAGATACCTTCAATGAACTAGCACATCAAATGCAACAACACAGCGAATTTCAATCATTATACACTTATAGCTTTAATACATTAAAACTAAAAGCATTGTATATCACGCACTAGCATTGTAACAACACTTAACACACAAAATTCACAGTATTCATGGAAGAATGCACTAAAACCTGGAAATCACAGATCAGTTCAACTTGACAGATGTCGTAAATCGCGTTCCGTAGGCGTATCCAAACGTACTCGGTATCGATATGCTCCGAATAAACTAAGCAAAAGTAAAACACAGGCAACGACCGGCCGAGCCGCCCCAAACAGAACCCAACTAAAACCAGTTCCTTTCGAATGTATGAAAAATTTCAAGGCAAACAGTGTAACTTGTCGTGCTCTTGAAATTTGGAGCATTATATATCTGCTTTACCGTATTCTGGTGCGTTCAGATTCAGAACCAGACCAAAGTAAGGTCTTTAAAATTAAAGTAAGTATAAATAATTTATTTTACTTTAATTTCTATTGCATAATATAATAAATCTAAAAATAAGTTTAAAAATGTAGTGTAATGGTATTATAAATCTTGTTCTCAGCAGTGACATCTAGTACGAACAAAATCAATCTTTGTAGAGAATGACTGTTTCCGGTTTTGGATAACGTTTGCAGTTACAGATAGATGGCGTTTTGGTAACTGTAAACATATAGATGTGATTGTAAATTATGAAAGTACTTTAATTAATAGCTGAATGGCATTTATTCCTTTCTTTCAACGAAAAAGCACTAGAAGGTATAAAATATTCCTCGATTTTTTATAATTCCGTAGCATTATATTGTAACATTTATATTTAGTTTAGCAACTTATCATCTGTAAATTACAAACTGTGGACCTCGGAAGGTTCAAGTAGTGCAAAAAATTTGATTAAAATATAAATTTCTTCAAAGTTACAATGCTAACTATGTACTCAGAATTTTTAAGACTTTTGTTATTTAGTAAAAGAAAATGATTTGACGGTACTCGCCAACGAAAACAATGCGTTTGTTAAAGAAATATTTTACTATGAATAACGTTGAATCCTAGGAGTTAGTAAAATCTACGATTTATCAACTACATGATTTATTCTTTAAAAGAATAAGTTTGTCGATCTTTGTTGCTATGTTTTTGAAGAACCTAAATCCTGAGTATGCCAAGTAAACGATAGTAAACACTCGAAATAACTATGTAGTTAGTAAATGTACCATATAATCTCTTTTATCATATTTTTATATTTAAGATACCAGCCCAAATACCGGTGGAAATACGGCGTGGAGCTGGACCTGAGTCCTGCGCGAGCTACAATGATTGACTCGAAGACGTTGGCTATTTCTTTTGCCAAATGCCAACCTACTTTGTGTCACTGCTCCAGTATAGTGAGTATGCATGGCGAACTTTATTTTAAAACCTTTGCATAGCAACAATGCTCACTTAATTTTGGTAGCAACAAAAGGCCACGAAAACTTTTACTATGCACAGACATTCAAAAATCATCAGTGAATAACTATGCATTTATTTGATGATTTCAGCTTCAATTTTTAAAGATAGAAATATCAGGATTCGGTAAATAATTCAGGTGTTACAAATAAAATTTATTTAAATTTGAAATGAAAAACTTATACAACAAATGTGTAAGATTTTAACCACCCAGCCGTCATAACCTAACTTTGGCAAAGCAAGCTCTACAACATACATATTCAGACCAAAGTCACAAGCAGACCTCAACCGTCGACTTAGGGTTTACGAAAATAGTTGTGCTAAATATATTGTAATATAAAATAATGTAGGATTTTTTTTTTAATGTTGAAGGGCGAGCCGCCCTACAGTCTTGTAAGCTCGCGTTTACTGCGCCTTGTACACTCTGGTGCATGTTACATCCTTGACTGTCATCACCTGGAATCAAATAAAAATATATTAATATTACATCTGTAAAAAATGATTTGACTTGATTTGATTTTGACCATTTAGCGATATTGTAAGAAAATTATTATTATTAAACTATATCAAAAAACAAATGTAGCCTTAAAAAAGGACATCGTAACATTGGAGTGTGGTTAACTTGGTATTTAGGTAACTAAAAAGATTATCGAGATATCCGTACAAGCGTATAATTAAAAACTACTGCGTACTCTCTTTTATGAAAACTTATCTATTATCTCTGTCATTTCAAAGAGAATAAGACAAATAACAATGTATTTCTACACAGGAAACCTGTATGTGGAAAGTTTAGCCGAGATATTAACTTACAGCCTTCATCTCTTCGGGTCCGAATTCCCTGATGAAGTTGATCTCCAAACCATCAGGACACTTCTGCACCTGCTTCAGGGTGTTGCCCTCAAAGTTGTACACCGACTTCACCTACGAACACATACAAAATCATTTCAAAGTAATTAATTTAACATTTATTTAAATTTGTAAATATTCGAGTATTTTAAATTCAATAACATTAAGCATTTATAAAACCACAAACAAAAACAAATTGTAAATAATGAAATATTATTTAAATATTGGTTTAACTCCAATAGCAACAATCGAGAAAGATATTATAAATTCATTTTTCAACAATTAACCCCCACTTGCGATTTGAAATAAAAAAAAATAAAAACTGCCGAATGTAACATACCTTAACACCATCGGCGCGTTCCTCATCGACCTCTTCACCAGGCTTGAACTTGACTTCGGTGGTCTTGAAGGTGGAGGAGGTGACGAGCGAGTAGGAGTCGCCGTCCTGACGGATCTCCACAGTGGGGGTCACCGCGTTCGCCGCCTTACGGGTGATAAGACCAACACCTATAAAATGAAGTTTATATTTAGTGGCATGCCTGTTTTAAATACCTATATAAGTAAAGTATCACCGAAAACTGGCTGAAAAAATGGAGGAAATGTGGCCATAACGGTACATATTTATGTAATTATTTTTAAGGAATGTCGCATCAGTATTGTGCCGAACGGAGATTCATGTTTCACCACTTATGTTATGGTTACGCTCTACGAAAATGCATGTATTTTTTTTAAATATTGTACATTATATCAAGTTCCACATATGAAACGTCATTTCTCTAATCTCAAAGTTATAGATTTTCCGCTTTATATTAAACCAACTCGAAGGTAATGTTTTCATAACATATCAAACCCTAGAACCAGTTAGTGCCTTTGAATCGGAAAAGCTTTTGAAATTTTTAGATTGATGGATAAATCGTCTTCGGGTCTATCAATTTTTCATACGATGAGATAAAATAATGTAAACTCGATGGACGATTAAAAACGATAATAATCTCAAATCTGGATAGATTTTATTTTTATTAAAATTTACAAGCGTATCAGGTATATTCGTTCTGTTATTCTATATCGGACTAAGTTTAAATTAAGAACAGTATTGTTCGAAGACAACTAGATGATGTCTAACACCACCACAACTGTACCACAAGCGTCAATATTAAATTTCCTCGTTGACCCAATTTGGTTCACCAAGTTATCAGACTCCGTAGTTTGATACAGTAAAATGATATTGTTAAACTTTAACAAAAGTATAAATCATATCCATATTAAATTATGATATTGTTAGGAAGAAAATTTGAAAATGTGCCATTGTATTGAAGCAACACTAGCCTTAATAAAATGTCGACGTTTATGTCCCGTCACTAATCATTCTGACACTGGACTTTGTAAGGAAAGCACGTCAATCGCCCCAAGTGATTCTATGAAATACTGTCTAAAAATACATACATATTTTTAATTTCAAATCTGTACATTAATTGCGAAAGTAACTTTGCAATTTTGGCCGGTACATAATTCAGTTAGTCGCTTATTAAACGGTTTTTAACTTGCCAAGTTTTTTTTTTGCCATAATAAGAAATGATATAAATAATTGCGGTGGAAAATTTCTGCCTCCTTAAGAAAAATAATTTTCAATATTTTCAAGTTCGACCTTCCCACGTCTGCTATCTTTATTGCCTTCTAGTAACTTACGGATATTATTTGAATTGACGTAATGCAACTAAATTAGTATATGTGTACCAAGTTTGCTTATTTACATTGAATTTTATCACTTCCTTAAGTTTTGAAAAATTTGTAACACGAAATATAGATAAATTACTGACAATTACCGATAAACAAGGATATTTTTTACTCTACCACTTTTTTGTCCGTCTATTCAGTTTTTTTTTTAGTTTAAATTCTTAGGAAAAACTACAAGAAAATTGTCAAATAAGTTAATAAGACCGAATGGAGTAGTAAGTAAAGACTTTAACAGTGCAGTTTTCGAATCATTCAATGCATTTCACTTCTTAGATAGCATCAGGTTTGCGTTCATTTATGAATTGAATCTTATTTTATTCACATCTAGTCGTTTATCTGGCTAGGATCTGAAGAACTGGTTTGTTAAAGTAACTAAGATGAAAAAACTAAACTAAGCGATGTTCATTCATATTAAAGACGAATCACTTATCTGTTTTTCTCCGTAACTACAAGTTGTTAAATCGAAGATGTCTGGCTGGTTTTTATTTAAAAAACGACTATAACGGACCGAAGAAAAATCAATGAGTTGTATAAACTATGCTCCAACAATAATTATTAAAAACATACAAATTAATTGATAACCTCCCCCGTTTTGAGGTATTTAAAAAAATACGAGATTGGAGACAGGCAATTTTAATAGAATATTATCCCAAAAAAAACTGTGTCATATTTATTAAGAAAAAAGTCCAAACTTCCGATGCCAATAAGTCACGGTTCTGCCAAGACCTATTTAATAAATTAAAGTTATTTTTTTGAGATAAAAAATATTGAAGAACTTATTCATATAGCAATCCAGCCACATGGAAAGAGGAAGTAAATATTGATGATAATTCTCAACAGAGGCGTATTGTCGTAGGCTGCGTATTAATCAGGAAATGCGCTAGGGAACCGCGAATTCCTTAGCACGTAGAAGATGCCTAGATCAATTACGTGGGATACCTAATAGGGAACCTACAGGTCACTTCCTCTGGGATCGTCCGGTGTCAGACCACCTACATCAATAATCTTTGTTAATTTCGCATTCTGACTGCACCTTCTTTATTTATAACTGCATTCCGTATCTTACAAGAGTAAGGAAAAAATAGTAATTTTTGGTGTAAACTGGTGTATTTTTTAACTAAGCAATTATTTAGCTATAGTATTGCTGATGAA